TGATAAATACTTACTGTCTTGATTATCCAGACTGAGCTGGCCTATTACAACAATAGAAAAGAAATCAAGCTGGCAGGGATACCACAAACACAACTAACTTTTCTTTACTTTAAAAAAAATATTAGTCAATGGCTCTTGATTTTTTTTCCCTACTGAACATCCTCTGAGATGGACAATATAATGAAGTCTGGTCTACTTCCAAACAGTCTCTGTGTATTTAGTACAACTGCTAGCTTCAGTTCAGTGACTGTAGCTCAAGCTGGTATGTAACATCTGGGTTAAGCCAGGGGTTTCTCAGAACTTTGTGTTCTTCATGCATCAATATGCCTTGATGCCTAGATCCCTAAATCAAAGGGAACACAATCTAATTTCAAACAAAAAAAAATGGGAAATTGATGGGAGCTGCCTGGTCAGAAGAATATAGCATAAAACCACTGGTATTATGCCATGAAACAGAGCCACCTGGAGAAAAACAAGTTAACATTCAATATCCATTTCTCCAACTTCGTGTTGTTGTCCATTTGCTCTTTAGTGGCTCCTCTCAGACTATTTTTCCCCACAAGCCATCACCGTGTCTCTTCTTTCTTTCTGTGTCATTCTGTGTGCTGCTGTTCTATGATGGGCTGCTGCAGCTCCCACCTTCTGCTCTGTGACCCCCAGCATTTAATGTCACATGCTGCTGATGTGCGACCCTTCAGGAGCTCAGGGCTGCCTAAAAGGCTCCGTGGGCCCCTGTGCACCCAGCAGGGATGTTTAGCACTGGCACAACAGTGTGTTCTATGCATTACTGGGTTCAATATCCATCCTCCTTTTGAAAGGAATGTGTAATAAGGAGATCTGGAAGCAGACAGTTTCACTGAGGAATCAGATTGTTCACCATTGACTCACCTGATGGCCCAGTCAGCAAACTTACTTTTTTAGTCCTTAAGACTGAGCTGAGTAAGTTTTACTTATCTTTATAGTTTTTTTTCTCTTTGCAGTACTGGGAGTTACAGTGAAGACCTTGTGCTTATTAGTCAGGTGTTTTACCATTTGAGTCATGCCCCCAGCTGCTTTTGCATTAGTTGGGTCTGGACTGAGATCCTCCTGTTTAGACACCATATACCTGGAATATTGGTGCGTAACCCTGCACCCAGCTTTTTTTGCAAATATTTTCCCCCAAATATCCTAAATCTTTGAGACTCCTAATCTCTGCCTCCTGACCTCTAATTCTCAATTAGCTAGGATTACAAGCATAATAAGCCACTGTATTTAGTTTTGGCAGTAGTATCTTTTTAAGAAACCTAAGTGTCCCAGCTTTCCACTGTAGTTGAAACTGGAGGAGAGATGAAGACTGACAGAAGACTATAACAAAAATGTATTTCTGAAGAAAGATTTCTTTCAAATATATTATTCAATGGTAACTTCATTTGTAAATTTATTCTTTAAAGCTTCTGAATATTCAAGAATATATTAGTAAATATGTTCTTCATACATATATTTATAAGGATAAGTTTTTAAAGGAATACATTTATAAGAGAATATATGTATGAAGAACATATTTTCAACTATTGAGAATATATTCATAGAAACACTTCATATTCAAAATAGTATTGTTCAGTGTCAGGAGCTGCAGCTACAATCTGAATATCCCTTCAAAGGACAGAAAGACCTGAAATGTATAAACATGGAAAGTCAATCTTTGGCTTCTGGGTCATCCAGTTGGCTAGGCCTAAGGTTTGGGATTCAAACCCAGGCCTCACTCTAAAGCCTAGTACTCTTTTCTACTTCCCTAGTTGGCTCTCACTCAGAACATGGAGGCCTTGAAGACAAAAATGAATGGTTCCCAGAAATCTCAGTGTATTTGAAAGCCAACATGCAATCAGGGAAGGTTGTCATAACTGCGAGTAAGAAGCCAGTCTCATGTTCTCTTAAATCTTGAAAACTCCTTGAAAGTGTGAATTTTAAAAGGCCAGGTATTCAGTCACAGAGGGAGCAAAGAAGAGATTAAGAAGAGATTGTTTTAAATGACTTAGAGCTGTTGGTACTGACAGGGAATGTGTTTATTTTTTTAAAAAAATCTATCTGCAATTACAGGCTATACTCAAAGACTAGTCTCAGAAGTCCTAGGTTCCCTTTAGGATTCTTGCTAATGATCTCATTTCTAACATCACAATGTGTATTTAGGCTGCGTTGTACAAATGGTCCTTTAGGGGAGCTCTTTCTAATAACCTAGAAGTTTGAATCTCTTGAAGCCTTGTGTGCAATTTTTTTAAATTTCTCCCTGATTCAACTTATATTCCAGGCAAGAATTTAGACAAGAAGCTGTTAGCAGCCCCTACTGCCATCATCTCTGGTGCTGGCCTGACCATGAGGGCACAGGGAGGTTGTTCTGGAATAGTCAAAGATTTCAGTTCTTCGTGTTTCAAACCTTTCTCTAGCTTGCTAGAGGGAGAAGAAAAAGAGGTTAGAGTGGATGCTAGGCTATAGTAGAGCTGAACCTAGGATAATCAGGGATCCCTAAACAGCAGTCTGGGGGTACTCCCAGGAAACCCGAGACCTCTGGCATATCCAATCTAAGAAGAGTGGGCTACTCAGGCTTAATACAAGAAAGGGGCTCAACCATGGAAGAGTCCTGGCAGTCTGGCCCACTGCCAACCTAAAGAAGATTTATGTAGCTGTCATTCTCCTGACACCTACTCAGTGGCTGTTGCTAGGTGTCAGCACCTCATATGTGTTATGTCACTTACTTTGACACTCCCCAAATCAAATTAAAACCCCCAGTGTAGGTGTTATTTTCCTAATTTACAGAGGTTACTCTTGTTCAGGAAGTGCAGAGGTAGGACTTGCATTTGAGTTTGTTTGGCCTGCTTTATTCACTGATGTAACAACTAACTTACTATGAGCTAATTGCATGCCAGATACTCTGCTAAGTGCAAGAACCCAGTGATGAACATGACAGGCATAGTTAGGTCCTCACTGACCTTCTAGACCAGCGGGGAGAGAAGCAGTAATAATACAGAGGGAAGGGAGGGGCAAGAGAATGCCTCTGGAAGAGGAGTTGCATAGGCAATGGTGGGAGGCGTAAGAACAAAATGAACATGGAGGAAACTACGCTTAGTTTCAATCATATCAGGGTAAGAGTAGTCTAAATCTTAGAAAAAGCTTGAGGGTAGGAGGGGTGGTGGGGATGGGCAATGGAGTGACTGAAGAGGGCCCAGCTTTCAGGGAGCAGGTCTCTTAAAAACTAACAGTTCTTCCTAACCCCAGTGACTTCACAGTGGTAGATTATGCCACAGGAATGCAAAGAACTAGGTAACTCTTGTTTCCTGGCCTGGGCAGTTTCTTTTCTTTTTCTTTTTTTTTGGGTCCGGTTGTGGGTCCTGAACTCTGGGCCTGGGCGCTGTCCCTCAGCTCTTCAGCTCAATGCTAGTGCTCTACCACTTGAGTCACAGCACCACTTCTGCTTTTTTTTTTTTGCTTATGTGGTGGTGAGGAATCGAACCCAGGGCCTCAGGCATGCAAGGCAAGCGCTCTACCACTGAGCCACCTTCCCAGTCCCCTGGGCAGTTTCTTGAATGATGGGTCTGGGTACTTATGTGAGTTGTTCTGAATTCCCTTTTGGATGCACTGCAGTAGTCCAGACTTGAGTGCCACAATGGGATTTCTGTGGCTCTGTTTCTATCTGATCATCTTCTAGTTTAATTCCGATTTTACTTGGTATCATTTCTCCTGCTCTAGGTTCTGCTGTTGAAATGCCATATATTTGAAATGCCATACACAAATTTCAGGTCTTCCATTGTGCCTTGACAATGAGCAAATTTAAAGTTATTAATTTAACAAAGCCCTCTAATTTATTCTCTCATGTTAGTAACACATAGCTCCCTAAGGGAATGTGGCCCAAGGAACATGATAGTAAAAACTGCCTCAGTTGTTTGTTTTAGAATTCATGTAGTTCCCTTTGTTTTTCCACAACTGAGAAAAAAAAAGAAAAAAAATGAAAAAAAACCCCAACAGGCTTCAGGTTGTAAGATGGGCTTGATTTACAACAGTACATTCGTCAAGTCAGAAAAGTATGGATTTTATTTTATCTCTTTATTATAACTTAAAATATATTAAAAATTTCAGCGCAGAAGCAGGAATTTAATTGCATATGGCGAACTACAAAAAGCAAACCAAATAAATTGCCACCACAATTTATACCAACCAATAATATATTAAAATATCATTTAGGTAAAAATCTAAAGAAACAAAATGTATGCACTCTTCTTGGAGAAGTTTATTTCTTCTTAAAAAGCCTTAAGTTTCTGAAATTGTCTCAACAGATTCAATTTTCTCAAACCACTAACATTCTGAGTGAAGCAAATTGATATGAGTCTCTTTATTTTGAACTCTCTTTTTCTTCTCATCCTAAAATGATGAATGCCCACTTTCTCTAGGGCATGGTAGCTGTTACTGCGTGTAAAAGTAGTACTACGTGTAAAAAAGGTGGGGGGGGGGGATAAGAAGCCAAGTAGTTGTTTTTAGTAACTATGAGACTGACTCCGTACAAGTTGGATTCCTGATACAATCAGTCATAAAATATGATGACCATCCAAGAATAAATCAGAATTTTTCACACTAAGAATCAATATCTCGCTTCCTACATCAGTGATCCTTCCTTCTAGTGGTGCTTCTGTTTGTAGAGATGAACTCAGGCCCCAAATGCACTTCTGACACACATTTAGTTCTCCAAAGGTCCCATCAGAGTTCAAGCTGATAGGATTTCAATGCAGGTGAATGTCTGGCCTACAGGTGAGGGCTGGTGTTAGAAGGGCGGTGTTAGGATGGGCACCCAAAGTCTCACTGCAGATGGGAAGTCTCACCAGCTTCTGGAAGTGCCCACCTGACTGTTTTTCTGTTAGTCCTAGGCATAATGCTTCGTGTAGGTTCCAGGATGCCTTGGGACCATAACTAAGGACTAGTTATGAAATAAATTAAAATAAATAAATAGTAATGGAACAAAAAAGGCAAGTTTATGAAACCTGAATGAGTGTGCTTATTATTATTATTATTTTTTAAAAAGGTCACTTTCCTGAGTAAAGCAGGTAGAAATTTCACAAGAGTCTTTTAAAAGGCACCAGGCTTCCATCTCCTGGACACAGTGTCCTCAGATGACAAATGTAGTCCCTGCTTAGCAGCAGCTCTGATAAACACAGCAGCCGTGAGTTGATGTGCGCACCTTTTTGGGTATCTTATTACCAGGGAGACAAAGGGCTGTGGAATGGAAAATGGCTTCTTTTATGGTGTGAGAAGAACATAGAGCTACATGTGGGCTTCTTTGTTCTGCGTTGCAACACATCACAGCAGAAAGGAGCCCTCCAAAGACAACCACATTGCAAGTCCACACTCTGCACACAAAATCCTCCATACACACAAGCCACAAGGACTTTCTAAAGGGTCCAGATAAATTGTGGATGTGACCATGGGGCCATGAAATTCAAATGAATGGGTGCCCCTGTTTTTGCTGAAGGAGTCCAGGATCTGGTGCCAGAGAAAGTTCAAGTTCGGGAGCACGTTCACCCCCTTGCTTCTTGGCTTGAGGCAGCATCTTCAGTAAGGTCCTGGGAGGCTTTGAACATCAGGATGGAATTGTAGATCTTCAGCGCAGGGCCCAGCTTGATCTTCATCACTTTGACAATGTCTGTCTGTGTCAGAAGCAAGAAGGCTTTGCCATCGATCTGCTGCAATAAATACACAACAAATAAAGACCCATTGCAACAATGAGATGTACAAGACGCTACGTCGAAAAACGGACGTTACAATTTAGGCTGGTGAGGGGAAGAGTGTAGTTGTGGAGGTGGGTAGGGAAGGGATGGCAGGGGAAAAACAAAGGAGGAGGCTACAATGCTTGATAAGAAATGTACTCATTACCTTGCTCATGTAACTGTAACCCCTCTGTACAGTATTTTCACAATAAAAAACTTATTTAAAAAAAGATAGCTTATTGGTGCTGAGTGTTGCTGAAACCTTGCAATAGTATCAAGAGCCTTAAAAGGGGAACCAAGTTAATCTCTGGGAAATTTTCCCCAAGAGCATTGTGTGCAAAATGTATATCCTAGATTATTCAGGCAATGAATACTGGAAATATCCCAGGGCTCAACCAATAACAGAAGTGAGCACTTTACGGTACATTAATAGAAGGGTCACCAAATTTATGTCTCAAGGATATAATGATTTAGGAAGCAATTGGTAAGCAATGTGATATGATGATAGAATTCTCAATATATATGTATACAATTAAATCCTCCTAGCCACACATTTAAAACATTAGAAATCTTCACACCAAATGTTAATGGGAGCTAGACTGCCTGCAAGAATAGTAATTGTGTTTCACTTTTTCCTTTTCGCTTTCCTATGGTTTAAAATTTCTTTCCATAATAAAAAAAACATTGCAAAAAGTACATACATAATAAATGTTTTATTTATTAGCTTTTAAACAGATTTTTAAAAAACTGGCTTAGAATGATTTCTGGTTCTAGGTGAACAAGCTCCTGAAGACCTAAGTCTGAAATTCAGGGTGATGATGGCTGTAGTAGAGATTATCACTGTGGTAATTAGCATATCATGAATATTCATATCAAATCACCATGTGGTGCCCCTTAAATATACTCAATCTTTACTTGACAGTTCAATATTTTTAGATTAGAAATGAAGTGTGCTTGCTTTTCTCGAGTTCCCATGATGGCAAGTGGCTATTGTGCAAGCGGTTGGTCCACCACTTCCAGAGGCCCTCAGGACTTCAGGGCTTGACTCTTGACTGCTTGAGTGTCCTGATCCTGTATAATGAATGTCCTCTCTCTCTTCCTCTCTCTTTTTCTCTTTCTTTTTACCTATCTATTATTGCCAGTACTGGGACTTGACCTCAGGACCTTATAGTTTTGCTTAGTTTTTTTTTTTTTTTTTGCACGAGCCTGGCTCTCTATCCCTTGAGCTATGCTACTTACAGCCTTTTGGCAGTTAATTAGAGATAAGAGACCCAAAGATTTTTCTGTTCAGGTTGGTTTTGAACCATTATCCACAGATCTCAAACTCCTGAATAGGTAGGATTATAGGCATGGGCTACCCGTGTCTAGCTTATGATGTGACTTATGTACATAACTCCTGGCTTCACAACTAGACAGTAATGGAAGGTTTTCTGCATAATCCTTTGGTGGGCCTAGCACCATGGTCAAAACCTTTTCACATTTGTAACACATCCCTCCACTCAGCACCACAATGATGCTGTGATCTGTGATCCTTTTGGCAAGAGAGGAAGTGCTCTGGGACCCTTCCAGAGGCTTTTGCATGTTTAAACATTTAAAAAGATTTAGAAAGCTTCTTGTGCACTCATGGTAAATGAAGACGCATCCACAGAGAATGAAATACTTCTCCTAGGAAATAAAGAACACATTCCTTAGGGTTTAAGAGGGAGAATATGTCTCTTTCCATACTCTAATGAAGTCAGCAACAGTATTTTCAGGCAGAAAGAGAGAGAGAGACAGACAGACAGTCAGAGAGACAGAGAGAGAGAGAGAGAGAGAGAGAAACCTACTAGCCTCAAGTGTCTTAAGAGTAAGGCAATGATGGTAGTAACAGCCAATGTTTATGGTGCTATCACAATCCATTATTATAATTTATATGTTTTTAATCTCTCCATTACCTCAAAGGTAGATGAGGAAACCTGGAATTATAAACTTAAAGACTCTCGAATGTCACACAATTTTTTAATTTTTGGTCGGTTGTGGTGCCTGAACTCTGGGCCTGGGCGCTGTCCCTCAGCTCTTCAGCTCAAGGCTAGTGCTCTACCACTAGAGCCACAGCACCAGTTCCAGCTTTTTCTGCTTATGTGGTGTTGAGGAATCAAACCCAGGGCCTCATGCATGTGAGGCAAGCACTCTACCACTGAACCACCTTCCCAGCTTCCATCACACAATTTTTAAAAGTGGAAGTTGGGATCTCGGGCAGGGCTTGTTGGACCCTTTGCTCTATACTACTGTCTTCATTAACCATGTACTTGGGCCAAGAATTGAGTTAGGTACTTAAACACATAACCTAGTCTAGATAGTTCCCCCGTATCAGCCTGTGTTTATAGAGAGGGGTAAGAGGTTAAGTGATATGCTCACAGGAGGGCTGGGAGTGAGTATGGAGCGTGAGCAGCTCACATGAAGGGCCACACTTTTGCCCTCACCATGCTAACACTTGGGACACGGTGGGCCTTGGGCACTGCCAAACACAGAGCCTGCACTTGTTTCATTGGGAGCTGCCAGACCAGCACAGTCTGCTTCTGATGCTGGGTTTTCCTGCGGAACTCAGAGACTCAGCCAGGACCCAAGATACAGAGTATGCCCCTTGAACTATGCAAGTCAAGAGGGAGAGTTTCTAGGAGAGTAGTCTTCTAGCGAGTTCTAGAGTAAGGACTAAGGTCTAAGGCTCTGAAACCAAGAGATAGCGGCAGAGTCCAACTTTGCCTTTTATTTGTTTAAGCCATGCCTAGTCTTCCTGAGCCTAACCCTCTTCATGGCAAATTCCCACTGCAGAGCATTTAGAGAACCAAAAGACAACCACTGACTAAAGCTCAGCATGGTGCCTGGCACATTTCAGGTCTACAATCCACAGTCATTGTCACCATTTGCATTCTGTAGCTGGTCTAGTTTTTTCCATAGTCCTGGGAGTAGTAGCCCCTAGTTCCTGCAAATGTGCTCAGCAGTTTAGAATATCCAACCAAGGGTAACGAGGCAGGAAATGTCAACCACAAAATGCTATAGCATTTTGCATCCTCTGAAGCAGGCGTGGTGAGGGAGTCTGCTTCTGATTTCACTCTGGAGCAGAGGACTTCATCAGCTTCCCTAGTACCAGCCCCACCCCTACCCCAGTGTAGCCTCAAGACATCTGGAAGGAGGCTTGTGACAACCAGACGTGTAAGTTATCTTGTTCATAAATTCTTCCATCAAAGAGAGTACTTGGGAGTATGCTCCCTAGGTGAGGACTACAGCAGTGTTGGGTGCTTCTGCTGGTCCACTTTCTGCCATCTCTAAAAACCATTCACATTTACTCTTAACTAAATGGAAATAACAAACTCCTGGGCTTAGAAGGCCAAAAGTCCCAAGTCACCTTTACGTTTCTTACCTCTTTCTCGAAGCACTTGGCCTGTTCTTCGCAGCCCAGGAGGGACTGTACAAACTCAGCCACCTACAGCAGAAAATGAAAAGCCTAATTTAAAACACACACCTGAAATAATTGAGGGTTGTAGTAACTCAACATGTGAATAAAATAGACTTCGGTTTCCACAAACGCTCGGATTTAAATAGTAACTATCAAGTCACATTAGCATTCATCCGCTCATAAATTAGACCTGCCCCAATGTCTTTTCCATCCTGTCACTAGGCTGACCTACATTGGGTTACGGGGATGGCCTCCATCTGTGTGGTGCTCTGGCCTTCCAGAAGCTTTCCACAGCTGATCATCTTGACCACCTTGTGGGGCTGGGAAAGGCAAGGATAATAGTTTTAGGCGGCAGTTTTAATGAAGGCCTCAAGAGATGAGAACTGCCCACCTTGTTTACAGGCAGCCGATGAGACCCCGTGTACTCATCCTGAGGGTCCACTCCTTCCCTGTGTCTGCCAGATTCAGCTGGATTCGCACAGGAACGACCATAAAACTAAAGCCCTGTGGCTGTATCAACTTACCCGCACTCACACTTGACTAGTAAGCAGCAGAGATTGTTTTGGAACCCAAACCTGGAATCCTGGAAAGTGGCTTCAAATCTTTAACTTGATTTTGGCTCTCACCTGTTCCCTCACTCTCCATCCCAGCCCTCCTCAATTTTCTTCTACGTAAGAGAGTTCCAAGACCTGGCTACCCACACAGGAAGCCCCCAAGTATTCTCAGCAGTGAAGCTGCATCATGGACATACACAATGAGTGCAGATTCTGGATGAACTGAATGACCAGTAGGCTCTAGTGGCTCTAGGCAGATGTGGCATGTGATCAGTGGGGCTGAGCAATGGGTGAATGGATCCTTGGGGGTGAGATCTAGTAAAGGAACTGTCTTCCTGCTGATCTTTCTCTCTCTCTCTCTGCCACCAGGTCTCCTCTCCTGGTCTCATGGAGGACTTCAGAGGCCATGGAGCCCAGCATCGGAGACCAACATCTTCTACTACAACAGGACTTAATATCACTTACTCCCACAAGCCTTTCCAGAAGTCAGCAGACAGAAAACATCAGGTGTTGGTTCCTGGTTCTGGAGCAGTGTGGGCCAACATCCACAGGATGCATGGGAGTTGTGACTCCTGTGTGTACATCTAAACTCTGCCCTGTGGTCTCACAGCCACCTTGTGTTTGTGGGAATGCAAAGGGTTAAGAATATCTTCCGGGCAGAGGGGGGGGGGTGTGCGTGGAGGAATTGGTGTGTTGGTATCTGCTTTACTCACCCCTGGTGCTACAAATATGCTTCATTTTGAATCACTTTGCAATCATCCTTCTAAATCGCGTGGTGATAAGGATTTGAGGACACTCTTCCTAAACCAGCCATGCCCTGACACCCCCAAGACCACACTGCAGCATGTGAGCTGCTAAGGCTGGCTCTGCTCAGCACAGTGGCCGGGTCTCACAGAACCAGGGTTTCCATGGTGCATAGGTAGAGGGAGCCCAGTTGTCCTAGTGAGTTAATACATTGTTCTTTTCTGGGTGATGAGGAAGCAAAGAGCTTCATGTATTTGCAGAGTGTCAATGGAAGTCAAGAAGGCTGCTGGCCAGGCCCCATAGATGGGTTCCTAGGGCAGGGAACAGCACTTTGGATAGATGCTCAAGTAGCACCTCCGGAGAGTCTTGGACCCAGGACACTGAGAGACAGAAAGGGTGGCTGTGTCCTGTAGGTTGTAGGCTGCTCTTCTGATTGATCATGTCTGCCTTGATTGTGTGCAAGGCTTTGCTTTGGTACCTATGAGCAGCTCAGGCCTGAACTATTGATGGGAGAGATAGGAATGATGAATAAGGGAGCAATCATTCATCAGTATCATACAAGATCACAAGATCCTTCTTTCAGAAGGAAAGATTTGGCCAGGTACTGGTGGCTCACACCTGTAATCCTAGTTACTCAAGAGGCTGAGATAGGAGGATTTAGATTCAAAACCAACCCAGGAAGACAAAAACCAAGAGACTCTTATCTCCAAGTAAGACTGGAAGTGGTGCTGTGGATCAAGTTGAGAGCACCAGCCTTGAACAAAAATGGCAAGCAAGAGTGGAAGTCTCTGAGTTCAGGCCAAAGTAGCAGTATACACACACATAAAGGTTTACCTTAGGTGAGAACTCAGGAAATCTTCATAAAGGAGGGCTCCTTGATGTAGGTAGGTATGTCACAGGTGGACAGGCAGAGAATTACAGAAATGAGCCCCCAGGGCAGGTAGGAGCAGCAGCAGAAAGGAATCCAAGTTGGTCAGTGGGAGGGAAATGAGAAGACTTTTGGGAAGCAGGGCTCACCTGGCCACATGTTGTAATCACCTGCAGAGCCTGCAGACCAATGAGGTCCAGGCTCAGGTCACAGAGACTGCAAATAAATAGAGCTGGACTGGGTCCACGTGCTGGCCTTTCTTTTCAAAGCTCGCTTGGAATGCTAATGTGCATGTACTAAAGGCTTGGGACCACAGCGCCAGGGAAAGTAGGAGAGGTGATCCAGGGCATCTCAATACACTTATGCTGTGACCTTTTGTGAGGGTTGGGGAATGTCTGCTGGACCATATTAGCTGCAGCCCAGTGGGGAACACAAGGACCTAGACACCTGGCATGGGGCAGAGCCCAGAGTCGAGGCAGAAGGGGCTGCAGAGGTAAAATCCTCAGGGCTGGAGACAGGTTGGATATAAGGTGAAAGCAATCTGCCTTAATTCCAGGAAAGCGCTGGAAGGCAGGGTCTCTCAAACTCAGTACTATTAGCACAATGGGCCAGCAACCTGTGGATGGCCCTGTGGATTGTGGGACATTTAACTACACTGTTGGTCTCTCCTCATTGGCTGCCAGCAGCAGCTGCAATCTTCAGATAGGTCCAGATGCTGCCTAATATTCTTGGAGAACAAATCACCTCAAATCTTCTATTCCGGTGACTTTAAAAGGGAGAGGTGTTAAGTGTCAGAAAATAGGAAAAGGGGGACCTGGAGGCTTTGTTTTGTCTCAGTCAAGAGCTGAGATAAGGTGTCATGTTGCCACAGAGCCAGTGATGTCCCACGGTGCTGTGAGGTACTCTGATGCTTTGTATCCATCACCCTGTCCTTTCCTGGATAAACAATATACTGAAGACTATTGCCTTCTCAGCAATGTCAGCAGAGAACTCATTGTCCACAGCACACATACACCAAGGTTGTGTTTTGGGGGGGAGGGGTGTGGTCAGTAATAGGGCTTGCACACCCAGTTCCATACTCTTGCTTGGCTTGTTTGTTTATGGCTGGTGTTCTACTGCTTGAGCCATGCCTTCAGTCTAGCTTTGTGCTGGCTAGTTAGAGATGGGGTCTGGTGGACTTCTCTACACAAGCAGTCTCTAAACTGTGATCTTCTAGGTCTGAGACTTCTGAGTAACTAGGAATACAAGCATGAGCCACCGGCACTGACCCCCAGTTTTAAGCCAGTGTTTGTAATGGGCTTAACTAATAGGTTAAATAAAGCATGCACAATAAATAGATAGTGAGTGTCTCTTGAGCAGTTCTAGCTTCTTCTGGGGTCCTCAGTTAGGCTCTCTGCAGACAACAGGGAAGCTGTGGGTCCGTGGACTTCCCTTCCCCCACTGCTCTAATTTTCTGCCTTTGAGGAAGAATTCACTTTGTCTCTAGTCTTTTTATCCAAAGAACAAGGTCTATGAACTCAAGCTTCTTTGCCCAGATCGTCTGTTAAAAAAAAGGTCCTGGTTAAGAATTATTTATTTATTCAGTTGGCATTTATTTTCCCTAAGCATAAATGCTATTGAGAGTTTTCATGGAAGGCATGTTTTGCGACAGTTTTTCCAAATGGAAAGTGGTGAGCTCTCAGATACTACCGAATAAAGTCTGAAAAGTTTCCCTCTCCTTCTCACCTTGAGAAAGACCTTTCCCTTCAAATTGTGGTAAAATGTAGACAGACAGCAGTTCAATGGGAATGAACCTATGAAAAGGGCTGAGCCAATCTGTCTGTGCTATATCCTCAGGGAGACAGCTGTGGATGGATCTGTTGTTTTTTTTTCCAAGATACTAAGACCCTGTTACCAGCAGAGGAACCAGGTTTGGGCTTGGCTCTGGGGAGCATCTGAATGCACGGGTTGCTTTCTTGCCTGTCTTTCATGCTCTAGGAGCACAGTGTCCCGTGGCTCAAATCCCTGCTTTGTTTTGGAAGGACACTGAGTAAGTTAATTCTAAGTATGAGACAGCAGTTTGGGAAGACGAAGGATGGCACTGCCATGAGCCTTGGCTTTACTCAACTCACATCCTCCCCACGACCTACTTTCCTTGGCTTCCTCTCTGGAGCTCAGCAGGCCTGTGTTCTGCAGTGGCCGCCATTCCTTCCATTTTCCCCAGTTCTGGTGTTTCTCTCTTGCTGTGCCTGGAGGTGTGTGCTCGATTATACGGTCTCAATGTCCACTGGGGACCAAGTTTGCAGGCCGAGTCTCTCTTTGCTTTTTTCTTTTTCTTTTTTAATAGCAGAGGGTTTTGTTTTGTTTTGTTTGTTTGAAGGGCCCAATTGTAGAAGGCTGCAGTGCTTAGCTAGCAGTACCCTGAATTTTTCCAAACTCTCTCTCCTGTGTAAAGACTGCTTTTAAAGTAGCTGCCATCTTTTATACTTAATGATCATTTAGGGAACACTTTGTAGAGCCTAGGGCAATTTATATGTGGTGTTTGAGGATGCATTTTAGAATCAAAGAGATAAAAGTAGCCACATGTGTGTCAAGCATAACTGAGTCATTACCTGGACAGTAATGTGCACAGAACACATCATAACTTGCTCATGTGCGCTGACTATAAAATTCATCTCTGTTCAATCATTCATTCCTTCAGATACTGGCCTAACACCTGTCTCATCAGGATGCTTTGCTTTTCAGATCTATACAGCTATAAGAAGGTAAAAATATTTTAGTCCCTACACTTGAAAGCTTGTAGTATTAAATAGAATACTTCTTTGTTATAGAGTAAGAAGTACTTACACTGATGAACACTGAAATGTGTGCTCATACACTAACTATCATGACACCTACTATGCTGTCATCTGTTTCTTCCTTTCATTTCATAACCATTAGATTGAGTTCACAGTCTACCCATGCTTTGAAAACCACTGCTGTGGAAGAGACAGCCACAGTGACAAAGGAGTTAAAGCCAACTCTCAGCTCTAGGGAGTGAGAAAAAGGCCATGCTTGGCTTCTCTTCACAGGTAGCATAATGTAGAGCAGAGGTCTTTCTCCTGGGCCAGGATGGCAGACAAAGGGATTGTTTTCTCTCTTCAGCCTCTGCTATAGACATTCCGTGTTAGGTCTTGCCGAACGGCACTTAACAGGATGCCCAAAGTTCATTTCAGCATGCCTGGTCCTTGGCTTCTGCGTGCCCTCCCTCCCCGCCTCCCCCACAGTGAGTCCAGGGAGAATAAAACACAAAAGCAGCTCCCACAGCCAGCATCCTGTTTGGTCTTGAATTGCCTTTGTAAATCATCCCTCCTCACCTGTCACTTCTATTGTGACATTCGGAGCAACCCACCCCCCATTGGTAAGTACCCTCCCCATGCCCACTATGTGGCCTCTCTCCAGAAAGCTGCATCGATTTTAAAGGCAAGGAACACACAACCACAAAGCCCATGGTTTTCAAACCATCCGGGATGACCCTCAAGGACCTTCTTTGGCATTGGAAAATGTACTATCAAGATGAAGGCTATGGAAAGAGATCTAGGATGTGGTTCTTATACCCAAGGGCAGCTTGTTAGGGAGATATGAAGACTGAGCTGGGTCAGCTCTGTGTCAGCAGCAAGAAGATGTCTGTCTGTCTCTGGTCCATCCCTGATGGACACCATGGTAATGGAAACACAGGGAAGCATTGTTGCGAGCACTTGATGCAAGGCACCTGACCTTTTGAATATCTCTTGGGCTTCTGCCTAAATTCCAAGGGCTCTTCCAGCACTGCAGGGCTGAGACAGCGCACTGCTACTGAGAACTCAGGAGCTAGGATTCACCTTCTTACAGCACTCAGCAGCATCTGCAGACTCTCTGGGCTCTTCCTTTTGAAATCTTTCCAATCTTGAGACTTTAACCTGTGAGGACTAGCTACTCCCTTTGGTCATCTTCCGATGTCCGCCTTTCAAGTTCATTATGTGTCAAACTTGCAACTTGTGAGATCAAGACCCTACCTGACTCCATTTCCTCCTTACTGCTTGCTGGTCCTCATACTCAGGGTTCACGTTCTTTTTGTAAGAACAGCTTCCCTGAGAAAGAAAAAGAAAACAAGCTTTCTTCTTCACTAAAATCATAATCATGCACTGTGCACTAGGGGCTTACACCTGAAATCCTAGCTACTGAAGAGGCTGAGAACAGAGGATTATGGTTCAAAGTCAGCCTGGATAGGAAAATCCATGCAATTCTTATCTCCAGTTTGTTAGGTAAATTAAATTGGCAGCCGAAGAAAGAGAGCAACACGTGGTATTCAGGCAAGGGAAAGGTTTATTTGCAGGCCACCTCTGGTCAAGTTGGAAGCCCACGCAGCAGGAATAAAAAGGATCAAACCACAGCCAGGCCAGACTTATCAAGGCCAGGGGCTGGAAGAAGGTGTGGTCCACCGGATGGGGATGACACCTCAGGGAGGGGGGGAGGTGACTGCCTCCAAGTGTGTTGGTTACCTAGGTGACACAGGTTCAGAAGACTTAACCAAGAACAGGAATGAGTCCGCTCCACCTTCCCAGGGTGGGCCTTACACAATTAACCAGAAAAAAAAAAAGCTGGAAGTGGAGCTGTGGCTCAAGGGGTGGAGCACTAACCTTGAGCAAAAAATGCTTAGGGACAGTGCCCAGGCCCTGAGTTCAAGCATACACACACACACACACACACACACACACACACACACACACACACACACACACACACACACACACACACACACACACACACAGAGGTAATCATGTACAAGTTTTGCAAACCTCCTAGACTTGGACTCTGTAGCCTCAGCTGGTCCCTGCCTGAGCTCTGACCTGGCCTGCCATGAGCTATGTTGCGTGATCCACAACTTGCCTCCCCTTGACTTTCTTCCATGGACTTTGCTTGCTTTTCCTTAAGTGCGCATTTGCAGCCCTAATTCCCTTACCTTTCAGTCTGAGTGCCTGAACCAGTGCTCGGACCGCACAGGCTCTCTCTGAACATACAAGAATAGAGAGCCCTTGGTAGCCCGAGTTTGCACCCATTAATGACAACATCTCACATTTCTGTCCCCTAAAACATCTATGTACTCGTGACTCACAGATCCCACTAACTACATGGCCTATCATAAATGCCTCTGATTGTCCCTCTACCCCCACACTGGGCTCTTCCCCAAAGCTACTCTTCTTCTGACAGCAGCACCATTCTTTCCCATTCTTTCAAAGGATCTTCTTGGGCCTTACAGCTCTCACATGTTATTATCCTAATTAAGTACTAAACTGTGCAGTGCCGAGACTATAAATGGAATCACATTTGGCTCATTTCACTTTTTCATCTTCTGTGTCTCGTTGCCTTCCCTGAGCTGTTGCTTTCAACTTAAAACAACTGCAGTCAATTCTTCTTCCTGTAGCACCAGTCAGGCTCCGGTTATCCCACACCATGGCCTTGCTGGCAACTCCGTGGTTGTCTACTTCTCCCTGCACTCTCCTTCTTTTGGAAGATCTTTGTTGTTCTTATCTTCCTGAAATACTGGCTTCAAAAACTAGTACTTCATAGGCTCCAGTAGTCTGCTGGGCCATGCCCATACCTGCCTGGCTTCCAAGGCCTTTCATACCCAGCTGTTCTTGCCTGTCTCAGGCTGCTATCCTCCAGACCTAGGTCTTCTGTGTGTGAGCTGGGAAAAGCTAGCTTAGACCTGGCTCTGACTGTGTGGTCTTAAGCAAATCACTTAGTCTCTGAGTAACTCAGAATCCAACTTTTCATTATTGTAATTTCATTTGTTGATGGTGTGAAGGACCAGCAAGAGAAGAGGAGCCATTCTGGATCTTACTTGTAAAATGGTACAACTTCAGATGATTGGCTTGAAAGGCAATAATGGATGAATTGGCCTTTGTTCTTAGCTAAACTTCTCTTTTAGGGCAGTGTTGTTTCAAGGGCAAAACTATGCATGACTTGATTATAGACATAACTGGCTATAATTCACTAGCTTGGTCATGAGCACATTCTGTAAACTTGTACAAATTCATAAACAAGAGGCAGACTCAAAATACTATTTAAGGAACAGGATCATGGTTTACTCATTCTTCAACATCTAGATGGTGCCTGTCATGTTGAGTCATGTTACCACAACCAAGACACTATGGGCCTTCCACAAAGGGTAGGGGAGGTGGCCAACCAGAAGGACATGCTGGAGAAAAGGCCACCTCTGCTTGTCAGAGGAAGCAGGGCACAGGTGAGCTCAGGCTCCTCAGGAGAAGTGCCTGGTATGGGACAGACAAGGAAGTTTCGTCCTCCAAACTCTGAGTGAAGCTGATTACAGCCAGTGCTCAGTGAACATCTTACAACTAACTTAACCATCTCTGCTTTGAATCTTGTCCTTAGAGTGACCTGGTATCTCCTTCATGGAAATAAAAATGCTATCTTGAGTGCTAACTGCTGAAATGATACCTTTATCAGAAGAAACATCTGTCAAACAGCACATTCCTTCAATTAAAACTGTTTTAGCCAGGTGCCAGTGGCTCATACCTGTGATCGCAGCTACTCAGGCAGCTGAGATATGAAGATGGAGGTTATAAGCCAGCCCAGGAAGAAAAGTCTGTGAGACTCTTATCTCCATTAACCAGCAAAGCCAGAAATGGAAGTATGGCTCAAGTGGCTGCCTTTAGAAAAATAAAGCTAAGGGAGATTGTCCTGGCCCTGAATTCAAGCTCTACTACCAGTACAAAAAGCAAATGCCTTAAAAATGTGACATTGCTACCTCACTAGGGTAAGCAATAACTTAACCAACTGTGTTTATACTAAAACCTGATCTGACTTCTTCCCTCTGTAGAGCATCTGACCCAATGTTGTGATCTGATCATCTCACACTGGCAAGAGGGACCTGCTCAGGACACAGACCATCCCAGTAGCATGTGCATGTCCCAGAGAAGATACTGCTGAGCTGCTTTCTTGTGTGCTTCCCCCGTCAAAGCTGTGAGGTAAATGTGAAAGCCTAGGTCCTTCTGCTTCAATCAGCCTTGGCAGTTAGTGATGGAGGGCAGGACTGTGCTGGGCTAAAATTGGGCATGGACACACAAAATGAACCAGACAAGCTATAGGCTTTCCTGATTTTCTCCCTCCAACATGAATTTTAGACTTTATATGGAGATGCAATACCTAAAAGAAAAAAAAGGCATTTTCCCAGGCATTAGAGGACCTCTGTAGCATGACTCTGCTCACCTCATCCACTGTCCATCGGGCCACTTGGCTGGCCTGAATGCCAGCCACACCTGGAAGAAGCTTGCAGTGCTGCTCTCTGCCAAGGGAAATATCACGGAACGGATGGGTAGACATGAAGATGGACTGGTGAAGAGGCTGCTGTGTCTGCTCAACTGAATATTCTGAAAGAGAGCCACATGGAGTGAGCATAGCACTTAGCACGAGGCAGCTGGGGTGGGTGAGAGGCAGATGCAATGAGCACCCTTGTCTTGTGCTTGAACAGGGCCACTGCCAAGCCTAGTGCATGCCACCAGTCTGCTTTAGAACAGAGGACACACAAAACATGTCATGTAAGGCCCAGAAGACTGTAGCTGTTTGCTAGCCTACTTCAGATCATCTCTGTAAGATATTCTTTAGTGGCCAAAGAAGGGTTAGCTTGTCCCTGCTCCTGGCTCCTCTCTCCTTACATTAGAACTCAGAGGAAGCAAGGATTTGCGTGTACTGTGAGGACATAGCAGATTAGTACTCTGAGCCCTTTGGGATGTGTACATACACAAAGAGCCAGCTCTTCCTGGAAGCCACATTCTACATCTCTAAACACAGAAGAGCTCAGGACCACATCTGGCCTCCTAAGTCCCCTGGTGAGACTGAACAAAATGCAGTACAGGGTCCCCATGAGAACCTGGATGACATCAGCTGCTGCTCTAGCTTTCCAGTGGGACACAATGACCTCACCTGGGGAGAAGCAGTGCAGCAAATGGCCAGGGACTTCTGGAGAGCAACCTGGGATGCCAAGACTTCCCTGGCACAGGTGTTGATAAGTGCTCTCTCTACTCCCTCTCTCGGTCTCTGTCTCTCTCTCCCTCCCTCCCTTCCTCCCTTTCTTCTCCTTTTCTTTCCTTTCCTCTCCCTCCATTTTCTCTTTGCCAATACCAAGGCCTGAACTCAGGGCCTCATGCTCTTCTCAGTGTTTTCACTCATGGCTGGATCCATACCTCCATTCCAGCTTTTTCTGCTGGTTAATTGGAGATCAGTGTCTCCCAGCAGCATTCTCTTTTCAGGGAGTGACCTCTGAATGCACCACAGTTCTAAGATACAAGGGAGAGCAGCCATGGTTTGCCAACAGTAGCTGCTTTTATCAAGGAGATTCAGTAGGTTCTCCAGGTTCTTCAGCCTCGTCTGTTTTAATACCAGTGTACTAGTATTCTCTCTTTAGGAGGGATTTTACTCATGCTACATCCCAATGTTTAGGATGGAACCATCCATCTCATTTCCCTACTGATTTTGCTTTGAGTCTCTGCATGGAGGAGGAGTGGAACCATTCATTACTCAGGTTTCAGCAGTCCGCTGCCTCTGTAATGTTATTATTTTGTCCTCCTTTTTTTTTTTTTTGGTACTGGGGACTGAACTCAGGATGTTGTACTTGCTAGGCAAGCATTTTCCACTGAGCTACATCCCAGCCCTATAGTGGTATTTTTTTTTGTTGTTGTTGGTCATGGGGCTTGAACTCTGGGCCTGAGCGCTGTCCCTCAACTCTTCAGCTCAAGGCAAACATGCTACCACTTGAGCTACAGCGCCATTTCTGGTTTTCTGGTGGTTTATTGGAGATAAGAGTTTCATGGACTTTCCTGCTCAGGCTGGCTTTGAACTGCTATCCTCAGATCTCAGCCTCCTGAATAGCCAGGATTATAGGTATTGAGCCACCGGCGCCCAGCTATAGTGGTATTTTTTAAGATAGTTCCAATACACACATGCAAAGAAAGTAAAGCTACTAATATTTAAAGACTTTGAAAAGACAGATTACAAAATGAAATACCATCAGAATCTTCTCGAGGTCCGCCTTTCCTAAGAATGCAGATGGTGATTAAATGAGCAGTAGCCCTATAACTTAAAAGTCATTTTTGATGATTCGTGTTTGACTAACTTAAACATTTGCTTTGTAAACACTTCTGCCTCTAATTAGGTTAGATTGACCTCATGTCTTCCAGGGTCAATCACCTATCTGTTTTAGATCAGTAAAGTGCTCACTGTAAGCTAGGTTTTATCACTGGGCTTCTCTGTATAAAGATGCTGTATTGGATCAGAGCAGACATCTCCCATTTACCAGTGCTTCCTATCCACCTAGATAAAGAGACAGCAAAATTGCTGGCTTCTTCCCAATTCTTCTGCTCCAGTTGCAACCAGCAGCAAATTCCTCTCTAACAGCCCATTGTCCAACACTGACCTTTTTAGTATGTAAATAGGTTATCTTTGTGTAGTTCAGCCAACACTATGCAAGTGAGGCTGTAGGTTCTGAAAGGAAACTTCACATCTTCCTGGAGCACTGAGAAATGTGAATGCTCTTTAATGAAGTTGTAGGGATGGACAAGGAGCACATACAAAGGAAGCCAACCCAGAAACACCTTGGTCTGCAGGGAGGGCAGGGTAGACACCTCCTAGGACTTTCCTGGGAAACTAGAGGTGAAGCCATCTATTCTTAGGGATTAGACCTGAATCAAAGATGAGCGTTAGTCTGGAAAGGAATTACTGCACCATTCAACTGGGTATGTTTGCTGAAATAGCCTGGACTTATAAAACAAACAAACAAACCTGTAGGTGTATCTCAAATTCTTAATCATATATAACTTCCAAAATATATATGACTCTGAAAAGACACATTAATAGACCTTATATTTTAATCTTATTTATTTTTTATTATATTTTATTTTTCTGCCAACACTGTGGTTTGAATTCAAGATCTGGGCACTGTCTCTTAGCTCTTTCACTCATGGCTAGTGCTCTACCACAGCTCTACTTCTGGCTCTTTGGTGGTTAATTGGAGAAAAGTCTCTTGCATTTTTCTATCCTACCTGGCTTTGAAACACTATTCTCAGATTGCAGCCTCTTGAATACCTAGGTTTATAGGTTTGAGCCAGTGATGCCTAGCTTGAACTTTATATTTTAGAAGTACAAAGACATCACATGCTAGTGACTAGATTCACAAATAAAATCTTAAGACATTTAAGATGTAAAATGACATCTGTATTTCAACACCATAATTTTGTAGGTGGATTGTCTACTTTGGGGTGCTGAGGCATACTCTTGGAAACATACCTAGCAGGCCTTAGAGTACATTCCTGTAGGAAAGAAAGACTACTTTATCCCATAAGGCCTGAGTTAGGCCCAACAGGGAGCCTCTGAATTAGTTCAGAAGGAGCAATGGGCCTTCTCTAAGTCAATTATGGGAGTACCAATAGCCACCCTGCAGGGCTAGAGTACAGAAGCCAGAGAAAGTAAGTACTGCAGTGAATGGAGGGTAGGTAACACTCCAAACTCAATCTGCAAACTCTCTGAAGCTAGGTTTCAGGTCTCACCAAGAGACATTGACTAATTCTCCATTAACAAAAGACCAGATTCACTTTCCAAGAGTAACAAAGGAGGAAATGCATCTTGAGGAGTGTTTTCTGGTGACTATTCTGCCTTCTTTTTCCTCTTTACCAGTCTATTTTCTTCCACAGGTGATGTGCTTTGGGAGTGGGACCCCTACTTGGGTGTGGATGAAAGAAATCATTCAGGAGCTGTGTGTCTGAGGTGCTATGGCATGGAGGGAAGGTCTGAGTCAGTACCAGAGTGCTTACTTCTGAAGCCTGGTACTCATACACCATAGTTGAGTGATCCTGAGTGAGATATCTAATTCCGATGCTTTAAGGTCTTTCCACCTATAACTTGGGCAATAGTAGTACATAGACCTCAATGAATGAATGTGATGAGACGCTAAATAAATTAGTGTTATGTTATTGTAACATAGAAGGGTTTTAAATGTTCTAGCAGTAGTCATTGATGAGAATCTGCAATCCCCAAAATGTGAAAGTCCATCCCCTACCACTGTAACAGGTGCCTAATTCCTTAGCAGGCCACACCTGGCTGAACCAGGACCTGCTCAGTAGGTTTGCATGGCAAACTCCTGGAACCAGGCCTGTGTCCATTACTTCAGGCCCAAGCCTCAAACTTGCAAAGTCTGGCCTCATCTTTTCCTACTCTCTAGACACCTTCACACAGGACACTATGCTATTCAAGTCCCTTCAGCCCTGCTCCCCAGCATGCCAAGCCTGTGTCTCCTGAATCTCCTCATGTCACCATGGTATCCCTCTTCAACTTTCCATTAAAGCTGATCTGGTCTGTTGAGGTTGATTTCTGCTCTTTCTTTATTCAAATACCCTCATGACTCGGTTTCCTAAAAGTCAATGTGGGGACCTATAGTATTCCCAAAGCTCATGTAGCTAGCTAATGCTAAAACCTATGAAAGCTGGCATCCAGATTCAGGATCTTGAGGATTGAGTTTAAATTTCATAACTAACTGGTCCTGGAAGGACAGGGCAGGGATGATCAGAATGGTACCCTCAGATAGCGTAAGACTTCTGCTACCCAGGGACAGTGGGGATCAGTGTAGCTGCCACATGGCACTGCTCAAATGCACTGCCTGGCAGCTTGGAGATTATGAGACTCTTGACAGACTTTTTAAATTGAGGGTGATTTGCATTATTTTAAATTCAGTGCATAACATAAGACTTTTGCAACTATCTATCTAAAATTTTGCATACATTCCTACATGACATGAATGTACTGATTTTTAATTTTACCCCCAAGCCAATCACAATTTAAGTCATATGAGATACTCATTAGAGAGCTGCTAATGAATTAAACATCATAAGCCGTTGATGGAAATCCATGTGCTGTACGTCTAATGGATGTCCCACAAGATGATTGTGGAGTTAAAACTTTCCTCTCACCTAGTGTTTTTATTGCTAAAATATTTAAATATGTTGAAACACACAAACATTACATTAGGAGTGCTTATAGTAACTGTCAGCATAGCACCTCCCATCTAGGTGTGTCTAAGTATACTTTGTGATGCTCTCACAGTAACAAAACCACCCGCCGACTAAGTTCCCAGATTGTGTCAATTAAGTGACAGGCAACCAACTGTCCTGTCCTGTCCTTTAAAATCATTCTGCTCAAATCAGGGAGATAAGATAAAATAAAGACTGTGACCCAGCCCAGCAGCTTATACCTGTAAACATAGCTAGCTACTCAGGAGGCTGAGATCTGAGGATCATGAGTTGGAGCCAGCACAGGGAGACAAATCTGAGAAACTCCTGTCCTCAGTGAATAAACAAGAAGCCAGAAGTGGAGGTGCGGCTCA